CCACAGCACCACAAGTTCCCTCCATGAAGCGACTGACAATTTCCAAGGAGATTGGCTTAAACCTTAATCCACAAACCCCAAACCCTATGTCTAAAGTTTCAAGCCCACTATATAATCATTTCCGGCCCCCACACAGGACTCCAGCGGGAGACCACAGTCTGTGTCGATGCCAAAGGATCTCATCACGAAGTGGTTTCACAACACTGCTCATGGTGACGATTTTAAGAAGATCATGGATAGCATTACGGAGCTCTTCGGCAAGATGGAGTGTGATGGCAAGGGAGAAAAGCGTGCAGCTGCAGGAGCTGGACCGATCGCGAAAAGGCCAAAAACGGACGTGACCACGATCGAAATGTGCAAGATGGGTGCCGATGAGACTTGCAAGGCTTCTAAACTTTACAAGCCCAAGCACGATTAGCCCCTAAACATCCCTTAATCTTGCCCTCGTTGCAGGTGTCCTTGCTGAACGTGAAGGTGCCGGCGAAGGCAGTTGCCCCGTACCTCAGTTTCCGGAGTGACGGGTCGATGTATGTCGTCAATCCCGGCTCAGAAGCGGCAGTCTCCCGCATCAATAGTACTCCTAACCTAGCAGCGTGTCTGGAAACACCCTCAAACCCCAAAACCCAAAACCGTTCGACCCAAGGTGTCCATCAACTGCGGCAGTGTGGCGGTTGGCTTCGGGAAAGGGAAATGGGCCCAAGTCAGTAAGACTGAGAATGCGAGCAAGCACGACTTGATGTTCCACGTGCTCGACATGAAGCAGGCCGTGATCCTCGACAACAACTACGTGAACATCAGCAAGGCCCTGGCTGAGAAGCCACAGCCACGAATCCAGTACCATCGCATGGAGGATAAGCCTGGGCATCCGGGACAGTTCGATATCAAGAAGGACAGTGCTGGTGACTCCAAATGTCGTGTCACTAAGGGTTTAGGTTGTGGGTTGAGGGTTTAGCATGGTTGGTTAGTTTGTTCGGATTTGGGGAATAGAACTTACGGATGCCAGGAGCATGATGTCTGCTTTCGACCAGAGAAGGGACAAGTGAGCGAGAACATGACCCAGACCAATGGTGCTTTGCTGGCTGATGTAGCGGCGTGGGAATCCTGCGTCACAAAGGTCATTTGGGTAGTGAATCACACGATCAACGGCCTCGGACCAGTGAGGCCGATTGTCGTTTTTACGAGCTCGCTGGAATTGCCAGCAGGCCACTGCTTAGAGCTAAAGGCTTAAGCTGATGAGGGACGAGTCCGTTCTGCTGAGGCGAGGTTTTGCTACAGCTCGCATTGTCAGAGAACTAATATTATGGGCGACTAAATCAAACATTAAACATGCGAGCCATCGCCGGCGACGATCCGAGGGGTCAAGTTTTGAAAGATACGACGGCTGTTCGACGAGCCTCAAGAACACTGCCTTTTGCATCAGGGCACGAACTATAATGGGTTTAGAGTTTAGGGTGCATGGAATAACCTGCATCTAAACCTCAAAGAGATCTTCTTATGGACCACCGAAGCATCAATCCTCATATCTCGGCCTCGTGTGCCTGACCCCTTGTTGTTGTAGAGGCCTTGGGGTTTTTCACGTAGAAAAGCCCAGACCTGAAATCCTAAACCCGAGACCTAAACTCCAAACCCTAAATTCAACTTTCCACTAAAACCCTAAACCACAACTTCTCAGGTCGTGGCTCGCCAGTCAGAGAGCGACGGCCGGCAGCGGCACGGAGTGGCTTTTGGGTTTAGGGCGTTTCGGGTTTAGGGGTTTAGGGTTTAGGGCCTTAGGGTTTAGGGTTTACAAGGTTTGGGGTCGAAGGTTTTAGGCTGTAAGACTTATGGTTTAGTTTGTGAGGTTTTAGGGTTTCGGCTTTCGGCGCTCACAACTCAGCCCTTAGGCTTTACGAGTTAGGGTCTTGCTGCATTTTTGGTTCAAGGTTTTGGCATTGAAAACTTTGGGTTTAGGGGATTAGGGTTTAGACTGTATAGGTTTTAGGCTGTAGGGTTTGAGGTTTAGGGTTACGGTCAGGGTTTAGGATTTGGTTGTGAGGTTTTTGGCTCGCTCGCGGACATGCGACATCAGATAATGCTGCCCGACACAAAAATCACCCTAAACCCTAAACCCTGAACCCTAGAAGCTCGAAACTTCTACTTATAACCCACAACCCTAAACAAGCGGCTCCAAGGCTCAAGCTGACAAGGCTTTTCGGTTGCAGCGTGGTGTGCTTCTGTGCCGTTAGCGAGACATTTACAAAGACTCAGATGGCTTGCCGCATCTCGGACAAAATTTCCACCCTTCCTTGAATTCGGTGCCACATTGAACACAGAAACTCTTTGTTTCCCTAGCCTGTGGCCGCACGGCCTTTGCGATCGTGGCGAAACCCTCACCCAGCTCTGCTCTCTGAGTTTGCTTCGACGGCTTATAGTATGTTTGCAACAGTGTTCGTGCTGTGGTGCCGGTCAGCTGACTCACGATCGTGACAGAAACGTGATTGTCTGTAAGCTCTGTGACGGCCGACTTCTTCATGGAGTGTGTTCCGAGAAGGTCCAGGTCAAATCCCTCAAAAGCATGGGAGTCATCCTGATCCCGGGCTGCACATCTAGAGATGCGAATGTAATCTGCAGCACGTCGGAGCGATTCTAGATACGACCTTTCCGTGATAGGCTGGTCCCAATTCCGGGCATCACGTCCTCCAAGAACTCGTCCTGGAAAAAGAAGCATGGGCTTTCCATTGCTGAATGCTTCTTTCAACTCTTGCCCTGCGAATGGTCAGACTGTGCCCTTCGAACTCTTCAAAGGATTTTCAATCCAGCCCCACAGCAGCATCGCAAAGCTCAGCGGAAGCTGAACCTCTCTGGGTTTGGTCTTGCCATTGCACTCTGGAATACAGACTGCTGGTGGTCTGCCAGTTGCCGGGTTCAAGTTGCGAAACCAATCAGTAGAAGCTCGCCTTGCACAGTCTGCCCGCTCCCCGAAGAAGAGTTGGAGAACACATAAGACTGCAGCCCACGGCTGCTGCACATGCTGAACCAAAGTCTGGAACAATATCCCGAATTG